GAGAGATCATCACTAGCTAGCAGATGATGACATGCTTCCGTTAGAACACGGAGTCCCATTCCTGGAGCTTTTGCCGTGAATCATGGGTGCACTGAATGAAGAGTTCAAAAAATGGTAGGACTATTGAACTGCAGGATTAAGAAATTGGGTAATTATTGTGTAAAGACACAACGGCTCTGTTAAAATTTATTTTAAATGTGATTAATCTTGTTGCTTGTATTGTTTGTTTCCATTGTTGACTGGTGATTTCTCATGTGTATAATGCTTTTTCTTCTTTCTTGCATTTGATGGGAACACACTAAGGTAGGTGATGTTTGAGATTCTTTATTTAATGTTTATAAGTGCTTTTCAAAAAAGTTGTTCCAAATTTCATCTTTGATAAGATAAAAAGTAAGGTATTAGCTTTTATAAGTTAAGAAAATAGAGAACAAGTTCCAAAATCCTTTTATTATTATTATTATTATTATTATTATCTTACTAATTTGTTTTCAATTAAAAAAAATTATGATTGTTAGTTATTCTTATGATATCATCTTTTAACACGATAATATACATAAAATAATGTGAGTAATGAAAATTTTAAAATAAATTATTATTATTTTTTTATTCATAGAAAAAAAATAGTTGTTTATATTTTGTAATTAGCACTTTATTTAAAGTATAACCTGTCCATTTTTTAAATAAAAATTTACTTATTTTAAATATTTTTGCCAGTAAGCCAAACACCATGATATGTAGAACACTCAAAAAATGCTCATAAATGTATTTTGGTATTTGAAATATGTTGAAATGTGTTCAAGGCACTCAAACAAAAAAAATGGAGATCTTATAATGATAAGCACTCTAAAACTCAAAGATAAAACAAGGTTGGGGGGGAGCAAAATTTAAAGAAATCCTTAATGATTAATTAGGCCTTTATTACATTAAACTATAATTTTAATTAGTGATTAAATTATGGATGCCTCTAGCACAAATGAATCATCGATAACATTTAAAATTTATTCTTCAACGTAAATTATACTAATTAATTAGCTTGTATTCGTGATAAATATCTTACATCTTATTATCTTGTATCATTTTTTAATTTAAATTTTTGAATTTAGACCCATAAAATATTTTTAATGTTTTAATCATGTTGAAATTGAAAGAGAAGAAGAAGACAGACAAAATAAATAAAATGAAATGAAAGAAATTGCACAATAAAAAATGTTATAAGAAAATGATAGAAAAACAAAATTAGAATTATTAATTACAAAGGAAGTGATAATAAGAATTTATTTTCTACATTTATCAACTTGGTCAAACTAATTTGAGTGGTATTGTGATTTTAACGTATTTTATTTTTAATAAGATGAGCGATAATTTTGAATAATTTTAAAAATTTATTTTTTAATATATGTGTTACATAATTTATGACGAATAGAATATATTCTTTGATGATAGTATTAGTGATTTGTGAATAAATAATTGAGGTGGATGTAGACAAAATCTGTTTTGTTAGATGAAAAGATTTGGTTGGAGTTGAAAATAATGGGCATGACTTTTGTCACCTAAATGGGGTTTCCTTACCTTAACATGTTTCTCCCAATGCGTATACAAACACACACACACACACACATATATATATTAACAAAAACACTTAATCTTAACCACTATAAAATTAATAACCCAAGTTCAAATTTCAGACATAAGGGACAAAACATGATTCGAAATAGTTAGAAGCTTGTCTTTTGTGTGTGTGTGTTTTGAGGAAAACAACCTTGTCATTACCCAATTTCTCAAAATTAACCCACCATTCATTTATTTTCATATAAACCCATCTCGGCATTGATTCGACTAGCCGTCAATTCAACATCATTTGGATTATCAAACCAATAATGAATTTGGTTTTCATCCCAAATTAGTATTATATTTTGATATTCTAAATTCAAAACCCGACCGTCTTATTATATGTTTTTCAAAAGTTTAATGGATTGAAAGTTGAAAACCTTAGTTATTTAGGTGTGAATGGATTGGAAGCCAATATTTAAACAGTAGTTGGTCTGTCTTTATACATGCTTTTGGA